CCAATACCACCAATAGGGCATACGTGATCATTACCCATAAGCACGACATCCCCTCTTTCCAGCTCCTCAAAGCTAGAAAACCACTCCCTCTTAGGGCAGATGTGATATGTAGCTCCCGAATCCATCATCCACTCCGTGGAATCCGCATAGCAAACCGACGGTAAAGCAGGGCATGAATAGCCTGAAGAATCTGAATCTGAATGCTCACCAATAGCTTTTGCAACATTCACTTCTGAAGCTTGTGCAGCTTTCCCCTTATTCTTTCCGGCTTTTTCTTTCCACTTTGGGCAGTCAATCTTCCAATGTCCTTCTTCTTTACAATACCGACATTGATTTCTACCAACACTCTTATAGGCACTCCTATTCTTTGACTTTGAGCGGTTGAACTGACGACGGTTTGGATCTCGGCCTCGAACTGCTAACGCATCTCCCGATGCCTTCTCGGAGGGTTCACCATCACTCTTCCTCAACTCATAGTTCACCAAAGCTGAGGTCACCTCCTTGTAGCTAACTGTAGTTCTTCCATTGATCATAGTGAGAACGAACGTACCATAATCATCTTCGGGCAACGAACACAGAAGTAGCATCGCCTTGTCTTCATCCTCAACTATAATATCAACATTGGCCATATCTGAAAGTAGCTTAGTGAAATTGTTGACATGCTCCCTGATGGAAACCCCTCTCTTCATCTTGAACTGGTAAAATCTCTTCTTCAAGTGAAGCCGATTCTCAATGCTCTTCGTAAGATATTTCTCATTGAGTGTTTCCCACATCTTCTTCGCCGACGTCTCGTTCATAACATCATAAATAAGATCCGGCGTCAAGCATGACCTAATAACACCACAAGCTCTACTGTTCATCTTTCTCCAAACCTTATCCTCCAACTCAGCGGGTTTCTCTTTTAACTCAAGAGTCTCCTCCAAATTCTGTGCATCCAAAGCATCCATCACCTGACACCTCCACAATCCAAAATTGATCTTGCCATCGAACTTCGGAACATCAATCTTCGTGTTATTGATGCTCAGACTCTGTATCGCCTTTGTTAGAGACGAACCTGACGTGCTTGCATCTCCCATGTTGTCGATTTAGCTCTGATACCAATTGTTGTGCGCGGCGGAAGCTTTCTAGGGCAACACGAACAATAACTCGAACTGAACCACAAACAATATGCAAACCACAATCACAGCAAGAACACACAATTTACGTGGTTCGGCAAGTTGCCTACGTCCACGGGGCAAGGAGGGGGGAAGTTTTTTCTACTAGAAATCAAGAGAATACAAATAGGGTTACAAATCTCTCAGACCAAACCCTAAAACAAAGCTCTAGATCTCTCAAAGCTCTCTCACAATTGGATGCAATGATTCTCTCTCTTTGGCTGCTCAAATTCGTCCCACACTATCCCTAAACAAACAGGTTTAGGTATATATAGAACTTACAAAACGAACCGGGTCGAAAACCTGGAAAAACTGATATCCGCTTCGTCCTCGACCGGCCCGGTCGACCGCGATTTGCACGAATGCGGTCGACCAGACCGGTCGACCGCCGCCTGGTTTGACTGATTCTTCTGAGTTTCTATAATTTCTTCAATTAAGAGATGAGAGGTTAGAAGGAAACTAGTGCAAATTAAGATGTGCCCACTAGCTATTCATTTCTTCCTATCTTTCTCAAGTCCTAACGAGCGCCCATGGGCACTCACAAGAAAAATCGCTGGATTAACTTCGGGTAGGTTCAACATGATTAAGTATTATTAAGCATTAAATTTATACTTCCAAAATTTTCTTTGTAATTCTACTAGTTGAGATGCATGTGCAGTGCACGTCTTTGAATATCATGATTATTTAAATTGATAAAAATAAAGTAAAAATAAAAAAGAATACAAAGTTTTTTGTAGAATTGATCATCAACTTAACAATCTCTCCCAAATAAAAATTTATCATTATTTTTTTCAACTCAGACTGTGGCCGCGTGATCTATTTGTGAGTTATAAACATATTGATCAAGTACAACATCTCTGTTTATTAGTATCTTGAAGTCTTCAAAAGATGGGTGATCATTCAATTTGCAAAGAAATTTTGCATATGAATTTATTTGCAATATATCCATTAAACTTTTAGTTATGGTTTGACTCATATTAACATTACCTTTTAGCCGTAATTTCACTCATATTTATATTATCTAATATTCTCATTCAATTTTTATATTCTCATTCAATTTTTATAGCTCATTCTCCGTGTCATAGAAGTAAAACTAAAAGTATGATGAATTATTTTGTGAATTTTTAAAACTAAAAGTATGATGAATTATTTTGTGAATTTTTTTCTTTGATGCAAGGTCCCTATCAAAGCTTGCCCCAAGAGAATAGTATAAAAATAAAATGTTAGAATTATTTCCATGTCATATCTTTTTTCGTGTCATATTCATATTTACATTTATTAGTATAGTGCACTTGCTTTGCACGAGAGCATCCCTGCTTTATTTTATGCTTTTTAATTTTTTTATTAGCTACAAAAAATAAATATAAATTCTAAACAATTACAATTTTATTTTAATAAATAAATTGTAAAACTGTATATAAATAACTGTATGATCAGTTATGGTTTGGATAACTATTATAATTTATTCATAATTTATTTAAATAATTATAATATATTAAATAGTTTTTTATCTTTTAAATAAATAATATTATAAAATGATATTATAATTCACTTGCCTAGGGCAATTGTATTATATATGGGACATACAACTCATCTGAAATATCCACATCTGGTAAGTGGATTTTGATGTTGTAAGAGTAAAATGTTAGAGGCTCGTATTCAAACCTTTTGGCTTTATGAAAGACATAGGAATTTAGAGTGCATAGCTTATATATCGTAAAGAACATACTGGTTCATGAAGGATCTTCCCTAATAACGATATTATTACAATGATACTACTATTCGGTATTAAATCAATTTTATTATACAAGATTATATGACCCTTTTTAATAAATTATAAAGTATATATATGGAAACCTCGATGCTTATAGCTAGTAGTTGGGCTCCACAAGATAAATTAACTTTACATTGTAGTTTGCTATTGGTAGCACTATTAGCAATGCAATTATATTTTCTCTTTATCTTATTATTCATACTTTTCTGATGTAAGTTCTCTTTTGCTAATCATTCAATTGGCTATATTTAGTTTTTATAATATCAAAAGTTAGAAATTTCTCTTCTGTTTAAAAACTGTTGACGTAATTTTCTTAAAAATTGTATACACATAGTAACGATAGTATATACTTCAGTTTAACTCAAACACTGGCTTGAGGTCATTTAGAGTGAGATCATTTCTACGCTAGAATGGTGATATAGTGATTATACAATCCAAAAGTCAAAGAAAAAATTTCTACAAAGAAAAAAAATTTAATATGTCAAATTAATAACTAATCTATAAAATATGTACATGAGTAGTGCAGATAGCTATAGAAAGTAAGGTACATATCTTCATGAAAATTCTATAGTGAGTGACACATTACAATCATCCTAATTTAAGCATAAATAATTATTATTTTAGTTACTAATTTGATACGTGTAACTATGGAATAAATCTCAAACAAAAAGTAGGAATTGAAATTAAGGAATTATAAAATCATTAAAAATTTTCAAACTTTGAAGGGGTAATTTGTAATATACTAAACTTTAATGGTGTTTTTTTAAATTTTAAATTTAATATATTTTAAATTAGTTATGCTCTTTTCAAACGAGTTATGAGTAATATTGACCATGAAAAGTTTTTCCTAAACCTATACTTTTAATAGAGTATGATATTTTTTACAAATTTTTAATTTTCTAGGAGTTATTAGTAATTTTGTATATTCATTTTAGTATTTATAGGTTAGAAATTCTCATGACATTTTTTTAAAAAATTATTAATTTTAGGTGATTTTTGTAATTTTTTAAAATTATAGGTCTTTTCTACAGATTGTAAATTGTTTATAGACTGTTTATAATTCCTATGTTTTTAATTTACTAATGAGTTTGAAATTCTCAGGGTGTTTTTTTGTAAATTTTGAACTTTGAGTTTTTGTTTGTAATTTTTGAGACTTTAAGGGTGTTTTTTACAAATTATAAATTATGTAAGGGATATTTTCAATTCCTATATTTTCAATGTACTAGTTTGGAAATTATCAGGATTTTTATAAATTTTACAATTTTGAAGGTTTTATTTTGTAATTTATAAAAACTTCAGAGTTTATTGTAAATTTTATAAATTTTTAGAGGTTGTTTGTGTTGTTTGTAGATTTTTAGTGTGTTTATAAGTTTGAAATTTTCAAGGTGTCTTTTTACTAATTTTGAATTTTAAGGGGTGTTTTTATAATTTTTAAAAGTTATAAGATATTTTATCCACAGTCAAAAAACTTTCAGTTTCTAGCTAGCATATATTTTTCAGATTTATCACTAAATTAAAATAAGTAAAATTTATAATTTTAAGATGTTTTAATAAAATTTTAAATTTGTATGGGTGTTTTTGCAATTTAAAAAACTTGGAGGATATTTTTTACAAAGTTTAAAAAATTTAGGTGCTGACTAGTATATATTTTTTAGATTTATCTGCGAACTACAATAAGTAAAGGATTTAAATTATATTAAGCATATCTCCTTTATCCAATAATATATTAAGTCTCATTATGAATAAGATAAATCATTTAATTACACATTCAAAAAAGATAGAATAATTAGAATAGATTAGGATAACAATGTAATATTTAAAAAAAAGCTAAAGGTGATATTGACTATGAATTTTTTTTCCCGAACTCGTACTTTTTAAAGGGAGTAAGTATGATTTGATATAATCTCAATAGAAATTTGCTCCCTTGTCTCAAACTCATTCAGAATTATCTTCCAAACACAATACAATCCATAAGCACCAAATTGACAATCTGCACTCCACCAACATCTACACCAGTAGCATATATGACAAAACGAAATGATGTTTCCATCAAATACTTGCAAATTAAAATGGAAAAGGAAAAACTTCCGCTGAAATCTTCTATTGTTTGCCTGTTTACTTGAGAACCATCAGAAAAGACTGATACAAAATTCATAGTTCAGGATACAAAAACGTTTGCGTCTTATAAACAACAATGACCATCCGAAGATCACCTCTCTTAAGAAATGTATCAATCACACATACCCAATCTTCATATAATACAAGAATGGTGTTATATAAGATAGTTATAAAATTACGTTGATAATATCCAATCACTTTGGGTACTTGACACACAAGCAATTTCTTTTTTAAAGAAATGTTTCTTCTTCGAAAAGATGGCTCCTCATGCCGCTGCCCCTGGATCACTAGTCACGCCCAAGAAATCATCTTTTATTGTGCCGATGCAGAACTGCAGTAAGAAAGAAAAGCAAAGGATTAGAAAAATGGTTCCTTCGGTCTTACAATTGAGTGAGACTCAATAAATTGAGTGAGACTCAATTTAAAGCCATTTTGACACAGTTGATGAAGCATGAAATAAGGTGAATAATAGGTAACTCAGGAGTATCTGATCAAGTGTATAGCATCAGTAAGCAGCCACCTTCATAATAGTCGGTGTTTTGAGTGTGTAGCTTGAATTTGACAGATTCGATTATCAAACTAGTAGAACTTGAGCTATGTGCGCTTGCCAATGTTCGACTTGAATAAGCTCGATAGAGGATATTTTCTAAGAAATACAAATGGCTATTCTTGAAAATATATCCACATGTATATTTTTTTGGAATGGAAAATTTGATAGATTAGAATGGGTAAGTGACATGAACTTATGAACTAACAAATATTTTTGACACCAAGTTTCAATTAATCCATGGCGACCAACAATTATAAGAGTTATGCAATGATGTCAAAGAAAAGTATGCAAACATAAGTTTTGAACACTTCTAAGCATTTCTTCTTATCCACTGCGTCAATTAGAAACCTTGATATTTAATTAGCTAATTTTAGTTAGCTTGAAGCTGCTTGAAGCTACAAATGACCTAACTTGAATAGGATTGGGCTGCTCGAGTTCTGCCCATTTACATCCCTACCTAGCTGGATTTATATGACCGGGTACTTGTGTGTCAAGCACTGGATATTTCTTGGACACTGCAAGAATATGCAAAAAGTAAATGCCATTGAAAAAGTGAGGAATTAGCAAGTCAACTCAGGTCAGGTTCAGCTCTCCTGGAGAAGTTCACTAGCAACGGGTTCGCTAGGCTGAGACTCGAGGTTCTTGATGTCTGATAGACCATAGAAAATTTGTTTTACTTTTTGGCTATATTTTGTCTAAAAGTGAGGCCTTGGCGAACAATTCTTAATTGACATATATGTACTTGTTGTTAGAGTATAAAAATATAATCCTCAACCCTCACTATAACTTTGCAGTTTTGGTGTAATTGTCAGAGGGAATTTAGGATGGTATCAGAGCAACCCAAGCTCAAATCCCACTGGCCATAAATATAAATCGGATTGTCTAAAAATTGATATTGTCGAGTGAGTCTAGGTTTCAGCCCATTGGAAGAGCGCTCTACCTACATGGGCATGTTGGAATATAAAAATATAATCCTCAACCCTCACCATAACTTTAAAGTTTTGGTGTAATGGTTAGAGGAAATTTAAGAAAATTTGTGGCCGGCGGCATTAAGAGCCTTGCAAACTTCATATAGTCAGGACCGAGCCTGAAGATGAGACGAGAGACAATCTCATCATTGGATAGTGGATGCCCAATGGTGGCTTAGGCTGTTCACAATCATCTTGGTGCGATTGAGGTACTCAATCATGGAGGAGGAACCCATCTGGATTTGGGAGAACTCATCGTGGAGTTGAATCACTCGCGCTTGGTTTTGCTGAAAATGTTGCTCCAATGTCTTCTAGGCAGCGTGGGAGGAATCAATAGCGGTGAGTTTGTATTCATCAACCAAAGAGTGGCAAGCATGCTGGTGATGCCGCCACATAAGACATAATTTTCAAATAGAGTAAGATTGCTCAAGTATGCTGTATCAGCAAACTCAAATAAACATAAAGTCAACAGTAAATATAATAGAGGGTTGATTACTGATGATATAGCTCATAAGCAAATTATTTACATGGAATATCAATTAGCAGGTAAGAAAGAATGAGGGTATTAAAAACTATGGAATTGTAAAATCTGAAACACATACGATTTCGGTGGCATCAACACGGGTTCCAATTATCTTCAATCGTACTTCACACTCCTTTTGAATTTTCACCTGTAAAGCATCACATTATGTTAGACTAAATAAATAGGAAGAGGCGTTTCAGAGTCTCTGATTTTCATTAGTATGTTGAACAGAAAACTATTTATACAATATAATAATAAATTATACAAAAATTTTCACGCTGTAAAAGCATCACATTATGTTAGACTAATAATAGGAAGAGCGTTCAGAGTACTCTGATTTTCATTAAGTATGTTGAAAGAAAACCTATTTATACAACTATAATAAAAAATTATACAAAAAGATCCATATATAGTACATTTTAACTTATAATCAATAAACATAAAGAATAAGTAAATAAATGAACAAGCAGAAGCCGATAATTCCTATGCAAAAACACTGTGTCAAAGACAATCAGGCAGAATATCAAGAGACGTCAAATGAAGCCAAAATGTTGGGGATACTTAATGAAAAATGAAGTATGCTATGACATTGAAATCTCAAGAACATACGGGATACATTTACAACAGTGGTGAGGACTTGTGTTGGACCACTTATTCTATCTGCGGGGAGAGTTGTAGTTCATCTCAAGAAGTGCAATGGATTCAGTTCATGGCTGGGAAAGATTAAGGTCTTGTTACTTCTTTATCTTTGTCTTTTCTCTTGACTTTTCAAACCGTGCTTTTGAAATATGCCCTACAATAACATTTGCAATAGTTGAATCTAACTGAAAACTTAAGCAAACTATGATTGTAATTCACTAATTTCCTTCTATAATCCTATTTTCAATTCTTATATTCTTATTGACGTTCCACATTCTTTTTCTGTTCACATCCGGAAAGAATTGAACTATCAAATCCAAATTCCTCGATAGGTCCTTATCTTAGAAATCTTGCAAGCCAAGAATCTGGTTATCATGATATTAGAGCTTTGACTAATTACGTTTTCTATTAATTTCATAGGTCCAATTTATTTGCATTCCAAAAAAGAAAAAAGTACAAGGTTCAAGATAAAACCCAAAGTTATCCGTCATATAGGTGTGTAGCATGAAGAAAATGATTATAGCTCGCGACATGCATGTCCAAAGTAGATGCAACTATATTTAGAAAAAAGAAAGGGAAAAACATCCTCTTGCAGGATAATAAGTGTGTAAGTCGGAAATTTGTGTTTGTGCACATGCATGTTAGGAATGATTTGAGTAACATAAGTATGGCACTTTCTAGCTATAAGCTGCTTTGTAAAATCTGTATTATCGTGTCAAATCTTATTTGAGGAGAAATTGTGGATGTAAACTGAATATTAGGATAATGCCAAACACAAGTCAGCTCAGAGTATTAGATCATATATATTCTGTTCTCCTATGAGGTCAAGTTTCCATAAGCAACGTTAATTCTTCTTGCCCTTCTTGCCCCCCGATCATACACTGATCTCTAAATAGCGTGTGAAATGGATGGAAAAAAATTTGTACATACTATTTGAAGGCAATAGGTAACTCCAAAATTTCTAGTTACAAACACAAAGAACAAGCAATTGTATAATACAACAAAACCCAAATATACAACTGAAGAAGGAAGTCATTTTCAATTGCAAATATGAAATCAATTTGAGCAAATTGATGAAAGGAGGAGGCTTACCGATCCATCTGATGTAGTGTAGTTTGGAACATCTCCTGACTGGAACTCCATATCATCAGGGATCAACTGTAAAAAAAGAAAACCAATCGTTATACAGACAGTAATACTTACAATGTATAGTCAATTATGTGACAATGCTCTGTTTGTTAACCTTTTCGTAGAGGCCTAAATCTTGTAGATAGGTTGCCAATCAGCCACTAAAACTAGATCAACTAATCCATGAAGTGCCAGCTTAAAGTCTTGGTCCATAATCAGTTTAGAGGAGAAAATTTGAGGGTAATTACAATGTTTCCATTCATGTGATTTTCAAAATTTTGATTTCATCACATATGCCATAAGAATATAGTATCACGCATAAGGATATAGTATCACGGAAAATGCAAGAAGGGCTAGGGATTAGAGAGAATAAAGGCCATATAAATCCCAAATTTCCTTCAAGGTTATGGTTGAATTTTTCATCCACAATGTGAGATCACTTCTTACTTAGGTATTGGTGTTAATTTCGGTAAAGATGGCCAATGTTGGCCATTTAACTCCTCAATTAAGTACAGATATCACTCTTCATATTAATGTTAGCATTGATATGTCAGCTAAACTAGCGGGCATTGCAGGTGGATTTCTGCTTTGGTTATAGATTAATTAAAAAAACCTATTCACATTTTGGGGAAAACCCAAACTTTACATGAATAAGAGCTTAAAAGATGAAATATAGGCAAAACAAAAATCTTGTAACGTTTTCTTATATTTTCATCCAAAAGCCAGCAGAGAGAACAAAAGCTCTCAGATAGTGTGCTAATCCTGATAATATCTGTAGCATGGGTTGTCTAAACTTAGTTGAGAAACAAACAATACGTTATTATTTAATATTACAACACGTATTGACTAATATTACAGCAAATTAGTGACATTAGATGTTAATTTCAATGCACAACACCCATACATGCGAAAAATCCCAAACTTTACATGAACACAAACTAAAAAGATCAAACTTTAGGCAAGTCAGAACCCCAAAACTCACATGATTAGACACAAAGATCTGAACCGGTCCCGCTTCCGCAAAGAAACCCATCTGCAAACCAGTCACAAACCAAACAAAACAACTTCATAACATTCCAACTAAATCAAGCAAAAGACCCAAACTTTACAATCAAAATCCGACCTTATTGACCATAGTAACTACAGCTTCAAGAATCTCCCCTTTAAAAGGTCTGAAAACAACGCATTGATACTTGACAGGGAAAGTAACAAATCCAGTACCCTCCCTGATGAGGCCCTTTCCAATGTCATCGACGCCGGTGATAGCCACGACGAACCCATGTCGTCCACTGTTTATTAAGAAAATTAGGCTTAGGGTTTTGAAAATGGGATAACACCTAAGTTTTATACCAAAATTAGGGTTAGGGTTAGGGTTAGGGTTTTGAAAAGGGGGAGAGAGAGACCTGCAGGTGCCTTCGACGTCCTTCATGAGCTTGGCGACGAGCTTGTCGCGGAGGTGGGGCCCAAAATGGCGGGGGTGGAGTTGCATGTTGCGCTCTAATTGAATGTGAAAGAACATTTTGTTTTCTTTCTAGGGTTTCTTTTTGTCTTTTCTGTTTTGATTTGTTGTTGAGTTCTGAAGAAGAAGAAAGCAAGGGGTCTGTGTCACGTGCACAGATAACCCAGAAAATTCGCATGATTCGACACAAAAAAGAAAATGACCAATCTTGCCTCATCAAATTTAAAAAAGAACTTCATTAATAGCGGAACTAACGCTAGGGATCTTGTTCGATGACCTTCAAAATTTAAGAACTCGTCTCGATATAACTGTTAAAAGTCATAAATTTATAAAAAGTTCAATCAATGACTTGAACGACAATAATCTAGAGAGATTTCATTGCTTTATCTTGATTATTTCAGTTTATAATCGATTTCTGTTAGATTTCAGAGATGACTCCATTCTTTGGTATGCAGAGCTAAGTATAATGCACAAAATGAAGTATGAATAATGTATTACGTTAGAAAATGATTAAGCCCTAATATATTCTGGTTAAATATTGGAGCATGATAAGCACGCTTCCCATCATTGGTTAGTGTAATAAGTACAGAGTTTAGTTATAACAATCCACAATTGAGATTAATAGACAAAATAATAATCTTTCTCTGAACTTCAAAATGAATAACTACAGAAAATGAAAGTTAATCCACTGAAAACAATAAAAATTACAAAAATAGCATACAAAACACTAAAACCCTAGATTGGGTTCGAAATCGTTTACCTTTTAGTGGTTGATCCAAATAGGGACGAGGGTTCTCGGCGAATCAAAGAAGGCGACGATTTCTAGGGTTTGGAGCGGAGACGCTTGATCACGATTTGGGATGTGAGAGAGAGAGAGAGAGAGAGGCAGAATTTTTATCATATCGAACGGGTGTGGAGCAAATCACTCCAGTGTACAGGGGGTTTGACAAAATTTACCCTAATTAAAATGGAGTAGAAAAGACTATTTCGAAAACCAAGCCCATAGTTATCGGCCCAGTATCAATAAAGGATGTGACAAATTTTCAATTTCGACTTATTTTGTACTTTTTTTTTCAAATTCGACTCAGTGTCAGCCATCTGGCTGGAATCGTGTCGAATTAAAAAAAAAACTTACAAACTTCACATGATTTCGAATCTCGTAAAGTTTTATTACATAATAAAACTTTAAGTTCTATAAAGTTTGTAAGTTTTTTTTTCAAATTCGACATAGTTTTAGCCACCTGGCTGAAACTAGGTCGTATTTGAAAAATAATATAAAATAGGTTGATTTTTACAATTAAGTTTGTAAATGAACAATTTTTCAAAACAGCCCCATTTAGAGTTTTTTTTTCAAAATCGACCGGTTTTTTATTTATTTATCAAAACCGACCCGATTTTGTGATTAACCGGCTAATCACCTTCCTAAATAGTCGGGGTTGACAACCCCGACTATTTAGGACCTTAATTTTTAGTGTTTAAGGCCTCTAATTAGGGTTTAATACCCTCCTAAATAGTCGGGGTTGGCAACCCCGACTATTTAGGATGGTGATTAGGCTGCTAATCACAAAATCGGGTCGGTTTTGATAAATAAAAAAAACCGGTCGATTTTAAAAAATAAAACTCTAAAGGGGTCTGTTTTGAAAAATTGTTCTTTGTAAATAGGTCGAAATTGAAAATTTGTCCATAAAGGGATATTCCAATAATATTCTGGTGAAACCCACTTTCGTCCCGAAATTTTTTTGCGAACCCCATCCATGCCTAAAACCCTCACTCGCCCCCTCAAAAAGGATTAAACCCCGCTCCAAAACTCCAACACCTCCATGGCCGCTGCCGCCGCTTCTTCCAAGATCCAAACTCTCGATGATTTCGTCAAAGTCCACTCGATTCTTCTCGCTGCTTCGGGAATCCCCCCATCGCTCTACAAAACCCTCTTTCGAAAGCTCTCGTCGGAGATCTTCGACGGCGGCTACTTC